TCGTTACACAATGTGTACGTATCCGCTACAGAGCCTGAGCTGTCAGAGCTGAGAGACTATAAGCCCTCGTTCGTGTTGGTTTGGTTTTTTACAAGACGATTCTCACGATGACGTGTTGAAGGCATTTGCAGAAGTTAACAAAAAGATCAATATTCTCAATCGTTCAGTGTTTTCAGAACTGGACGACCGACAAGCTGTTTCCGCCAATAACTCATCAATTCATACTCACATTATTTGACTTTGCTTTGTAAAAATAGATGATGTGAATCAGAATAAGTTTTTGTTTAATCAAGATGCGAGGTTCTCTGAGGACCGGAATGATGTAGTCAAACTGTGATACCAGATCGAGGCTGATAATTATCCAGATGCGGACCGATATCCCTGCGATGTTGATATTCACGGTTTCGGTCTCGCTTAGATTTATTCATGGCATGGTAGCCGTTGATGCTTCACAAGTGCAGTATGAAATGAGCGCAATTAGTTGACGCTAGCAATAGAATCAAACATTTAAAAATTGCGATTAAGTCTAAGTCAACAATGTACCCGCCCCGCGGAAAATGTCGGTTGAAGATGACGATCAAGGGCTACAGGCTCATCATATATTGTTGTCGCATTGTGGTAAACGGGTCGAAAGTCCCTTCAAGCACGTTTCTCGATAAACAACATTCCGCAAAGAAAACCTGACGGTAAAACCCCTGCAACAAGCTCGGTGACTGCCTCGCCCTGCCATATAAGCGTGGACGGTGGAGGTTCCGGCTCGTCAACTTCGTAACGAATTCTTGCTACACGAGGAAAGGCGTTCGTCATCGCATGCTTGATTTTAGAGAAGTGCTGACACTGCTTTCTTATGTCTGAATTTAATGCAGCGACAAGTTGCGAGGCATCTCGATATCCAAGCGTGTTTATCTTAAGGTGGTCTACCGTCGTCCAATATGAGCAAATGTGGCGAATAATTATGTCGCCGTGGCGGCGGGCGACATTGGACGTGAAGTAACCACTGTATGGGATCATATCCTCTCGCATTTCGTAGGTACGTCGATCAATCTCCATCTGATGCATACCCTTCTCTTTCCACCGTGGAAGCTTGACTTTCACTGCTTGTTTCCATTCACTTACCATCTCGGCCACTTTAGTCTGGTACTTCTCCACCTCGTCAGCGTATAATTGACAGACTGCGCACGTCACTTTACCAGAGTCCGGATCCAAGTGCATGTTTTCCCAATGGAGACCAAATAGTGACGTCAACTTTCCATTCTGAGCCCCCAAAGCATTAGTTATTTTGCGTGCATTATTCTGTTCTATCCCATTTTGTTTGTCTTCCACCTTTTTCCTTTCATCTATTCCTACTGGTGGGTGCAACCGAACGATGATGGGTCTTGCAGTGTAGACTGCAGCTGCATATTTAAATGAGATGTAGCTTTGTGGTAGTAATTTAGTAACCATAAAGTCAATAATTGATAGTAATGGCACATGCTGCCACTGGGGGGTATCGCGTATTGTGTCCTTCCAGTATGTTAACTCTTTGCCTGCGGTAGTGCGCACGTGGCAGTCCTCCCAAATTTCAGCAGAATAAACATCATCATCTCCGTCCCAATCACTCTCTACCATACGATCACTTGCCTTCCACGCTGGCGTCAGGTGCCACCAGTCAGCAGCACATTTCTGGTGAAAGTGCTGAGCATAACGTGTTTTTTCCAGCGCCGTAGCCGTCAATACTCGATCGTAACGCATCCAGCGGCTTGCATTCAGCATATTTATGGCATCACGTAGGTCCAGGAACTCCAAAATCACGGCTAACGGTAGTCGGAAGAACACACCACCATCGTCAGAGCGCCCACGCCTCATTACTGCAGTTTCACTGCTCTAGAGGGGAAAGGGCAAATATTATTAACCAGTTGTGCGATCGGTACAGCGTACCACGAAAAGGCCAGTCAGTTTTGAAGGCAACTTTATGACCGTCACTCTCGAGGAATCAGCGTATTATAAGCCCTAGAGCTCTAAGCACTCTTACACATAATGCTTTGAAGCTTATAGAACTACTTGTTTACGTGCGATCTTCACGTCAATCTACAATTCTCGCCGCTTTTATATTCAAAGGTTCCGTACGCTGTCGGACGTTATAGCCTTAATGCTGTAAGTATTACCAATTTATGCACAGGAATTATTTTTCGTGGCTGTGGCCAGAAAATTCAGTACATGTTAATGTTAATCTCATCGTACAAAAACCCTGACAAATGTTCACAATGAAAAAAAAGCTTTTGCTACACTATGCACCACCCACAGACAGCGGAAGCGACAGACAGCGCAACGTCTAAATGGATGAAGATGATATCATCCACTTTTCTCGGGGAAGGCAGTAGATCTTCCTTACTTGCTAAGCATTCGTCTGATGCGACGGATCGCGACGACGCTGCCATCTCGCAGGAATCGCTCGATCGCTGGGCCAAGCTGCGCGCCGACAACGGGCTTAATTCCACGCCGGAGCTTAAAATTGCACTTGTCGGAGGATCTGCTGTGGTAAGGAAGATTTATAATATATCTAACGAGAAATTTTCATCTCATATTGATGATGAATTATAGGGCAAGACTAGTATTGTGCGTCGCTGGCTACAGCGGTCGTATCCAGTGACATACTTACCCACCGTTGGAGTAGATGTTTACTCGATGAAGTACGAACATCGCGGTAAAGAGCTTTTGCTAAGCATTTGGGACGTCTCCAGCGCCGAGGTAGACGCCAGCGCGTCGTCGCTGCACTCGCTACTGTGCGAGGATCTGGACGGTATCTTTTTCGTGTTTAACGTGCACCGCGTTAGTTCCATTGCAGCGATCGACAAATGGCGTCACTGTTTATCCAAGTACCTTTCTCCCAAAGAGACTCCATGCTTTCTCATCTCACACAAAGCGGATTTGCTGCAGAAGCGCGTAATAACTAGCGACGATATTGCAGCTTACGCTAAGGTAAGATTGAGTGTATAAAGGCAATCGATATTGTGCGTTCTGATTATATTGCAAAGTAGACTGCAGGCTATAGAGGTTGGATGTGGACGGTCGGGAAGGCGACTTTTGGTGAAAACGAAAAGAGGCCTGCTGTGCGAGAAGCGCTGGAGCGTATGATAGATTTTATATGCAAAGATCGCTTTGCCGCAGAGCAGAAACGGCTTGCACGTTTAAAAAAGCCAGTCGTATGTAGAAGCTTGGAAAATCGTCAAGTAGGGTGACAATTACTGACTCATTGTTGACATACTATGCTCAGGGTATCTTGGAGGTGTCGGGTAATTTAGGACCTTTAAAAGTTATCCAAACGAACAGTGCCGTGCATCATTTCTCGACGACTTTGCTGCGTATTCCATTGAAAGCAATCACAACGCTGCCGCGTGATGAAGACATAATGCCAATCAATGATAATCGCCATAGCGAGGAAAAGAATGAGACTGGTGATGTTGCAAGTGCTCTGCAAACTGGCAAGTGTTACGGTGGCAGCTGGATTATGGGCAGTGACAAGGGCGTATATCTGAGCGCAACTAATAGTAGTATTCTTGCAAATGATGAGACGGACGATGACACAGAATCCACGGAAGACTTTCAATTTCCATTTTCTAATACAAGACACTTGCATGAGGAGGAAGACACGGCCGCCGCAGCTGAGTCTCGAAGGCTGGAACAGGAAGATGAAGACTTTGAACGACGCAAACAAGAAGAAAAGGCGGAGCGAGATCAGCGTAACGATCAGGAGGCGTGGAAATTTTTTGCCGGTAGCATCAGCCGAACGCGTGCTGAAAAACTTCTCGAGTACGTTCTTCCAGCTTTCAAATTAGTAGGTCTGCTTGAACTCACATTTAATCATTTAGGAAACGAGAGCAAGGCACTTTCTTACTTCGTCGAAAAGATGCTCAGACACTTATTCTGTCGTACGTTGGGCCTGATCATGTGCACCACGTCCTCATTGAATTTTCCAACCAACAGTATCACATTGGCTCGTCTAAGGTGCGAAAACACTTGGGCGAATATCTTAAGTGCTTTACTATCAGGTCGCTCTCCACTGTTATTGTAGGCATCTTTAGCAACATCCTTTCCAACTCTATGGAAATGTTTGCGGAGTGTGCGGCGATATGCCTACAGGGGGCTGATTTTTAGTCGCAATGTTGATTTCGGTATCGTGAAAAATCAGGATTTAGTGCTTGAGGGTGAAAACCTTGCGCCGGAAAGTACCAGTGACGTTACAATTCCGACTGTGACTGCAAGTACGCCAAGAATCTGGCGAACGCGAACTCGAAGCGGATCGAGTAGCTCTTTGAGCAACAGCAGTGCCAGCCGTCATGCATCACCCACCACTTCACTTAGGAGAGCACGTCACACACCGAGCTTACAGGCAAACCAGGAACAAGTGCAAATTCCTCCTCAGACTCGCATCGACGAATTGAGCGAAGAATTTTACCATCATCTCTCCGACCAATTGTCGTGTTTGGCTTCTCAGCTAAAGGCAATGCCCGAAAGTAGGTACACATCATCCTTTTGTTGTTTTTAGGCCCAAAATTCTTAATATGTTGCTGGCTTACATTGTAAATTGATCAAGGTGGCAAGAAAATCGGTTCACCCCAAAACGTTGATGTTCTCCTCGATATGGTAGGTACAAATATGATTGCAATGTTCAAATGTTGCTTGAGCTGTGTCCTCATTTGAGTCTAGCTGACACAAGAAAAGAGCGAGCTACGTGAGATGAACAATAACAACGCCGAGACGCAATGGCGCCAGCTTGTTAAAAACATGGAGGCTTGGAACCGCATTGTTATGAATTTGGTACGTACATCGTTTTACGTTTGCTTTAGTAAAATGAAATCTTACACTTATTTAACGAAGGAGCTATGTACAATAAAGTTGGTTTAGCTACTTAGTGGTTCGTATGTTTTGAGGACATACAATATCAAAATTAATATCAAAATGTTAATTGGAAATACAATTTAAAGTAGCCATGTAGTTTCTCTTTCATGGCTATAACCTCCACCTCATGTAACAACTCTTTTTGCTGGGATATTTTTTCTTGAAAATTTCCTCACTGTTAGCAAACATTTTTGCGTATATGCCTTATCTTTTAATCTTGAAGTGAGATTATCAACTTATGCAGGAGCACAAGTTGCCTTCCTTCATCATACTCCCTTTTGGGGTAGGAATTTGATTGATATCGAGCCGGTGACTACTAGGTGATTAATTGGTCCAGTGCTTTACCACTGCACGAGGAGGAACTCTAAGCGGCTACAAGCTACAGTATTGCGCCAAGTGACAAAATTCACACTTTACTGCATGTGTCGCGTGGTGCAGATGTATTGAAAAATGTATATGAAAATTATAGTTTTAATTTGGAGTCACGGTTATGCTTTTCTTACCTCTTCACTTCCAAATCGATCACTAACGATGACGGAGGAGGCGCCACTGTTGATCGGTAGTGGAGGTTCCTGTTCGTCTCCTCGACGCTCAAATCTTCACCCATCACCACATCCGGATGAAGCTCCATCGAATTTGGAACAGGGGCGACTGCAGATCCATTCCGGTGCAGAGGAGGGTAATAGTCAGCGAACAGCAATTCAGTCGCTTAGCAGAGCCGAAAAGCGGCTGTCAAAGCATGGGTCCTCCTCTTCAATGAGGATTGTCCATAGAGTAGAAAAAATTTCGGTGGCAGTCGTAGTGGTGCATTTGCTGAAGGGAAATATCGGTCCGGGGGCAATGTCACTGCCTAGTGGCTTCTCTAAGACGGGCATTTATGCAGGCCCTGTCTTGTTCATACTTGTGGTCCGTTAGTAGCTACATTTTCTAAGTGTACACCTTTTTGTTAACTAGCTGTTTTTAAGGCTCTCGTGTCCGTGTATAATATGGACTTATTGCTGCGATGCAAGCAAATATTGAGTCCAAAAGCGCCCATGTCGTTTGGAGAAGTGGGAAGGAAGCTATTGGGGCCAAAGGGCAAGATGCTTATCGACGTGTTTTTGGTGGGTACTCAGTTGGGTATATGTTGTGTCTACTTTACGTTTGTGGCGACAAATATTAACGTGGTACTTCCAGAAAGGTGCTGGTCGCTTTATTGCCGTTTCCTCGTTCGTCATTTCTAATAAGTAATTGTACGTTCTTTTCACTTTCAAGAATCCAGAATGTTGTGAATGAGCGGCAACTTGTCTTTGCTATTTTTCCGGCTCTACTCTTACTTTCTTGGGTGCGTACACTGCGGCGCATCACTCCGTTTTCGAGCCTAGGTGCGTCCACTGCTGTGCACTTTGGTTGCTTGTATCATAAATTTGACCAGTATGACCGTTTCACAGCCAATTTTGCAGTGCTTGTGGGCATCACCATCGTCTTTTACTACTCTATTGACTACTGGAAACATCCTAAAATGTTACGAGAAACCACTGTTTATGCAGACTGGAGCCAAGTTCCTGAATTTTACGGCACCGCCGTGTATTCGTTTGAAGGAATCGGCTTGGTGCTACCGATTCAAAATGTAATGGTAGAACCAGAACGATTTCCACGTGTGCTTGCCACATGCATGCTGTCAATTCTTGTGCTATTTCTCTTCATTGGAGAGATACCCACCCTCGCCTTCGGTCGAATCGATAATGGTAGTGTGACGGCTGTTTTACATCAATACTGTGAGGGTCGGCTTGTGACGCTGGTAGGGTGAAGTCTCAATTTCTGCAAGCGACAAACTTGAAATCGCTCATATCTATCTCTCTCTTATCTAGGCGAATATAGCGCTAGCATTTGCGTGTACCCTCTCATTTCCAATTCAATTTTACCCGGCAATTGATGTTTTGGAGCGAATGCTTCGGCATAAGTCTTTGATGCGCCCTGCACCGCCAAATGAGTCAATACAAGCAGCTTTAGAGGCGCAGAGACGTCGCAAATTTCGAAGAGATCCGCAAGATCGATCGCTGAATGGAGTAAAAGGTGGTCAATTTAACGACAAACAGAAGAATGAAGATGACCATATGCAATTAGCAAGCAGCCACCCCAAACGAAATCGTCCGCTACCAATTCTGTTATCGCTGCAAAAGATGCGCCGCTCATTCTCTCCGATCGCATCTCCTCTTGCAGTAGCAGCTGCTGCCAGTCTTCCTTCCACACCTTCGACGGTGGGCTGTTTGGAACGATTCATGTGCAATTTATCACCTTATGAATGCAATCGCACCCTGTTTCGATCTATGTTGTGCACCAGTCTTATGGTGATTGCGATCTGCGTCCCAGACGTAGGTCTACTAATCAGTCTGTTTGGCTCCGTGGGCTCCAGTATGCTGGCAATTATATTGCCTCCCGTACTTTACATTACGGCCACAAAATCGACTATGTCATTGTCTTCACGTATATTTCATTTGGGAATCGTTTTTCTTGGAGTTATTGGAATGGTGGCAGGCACAGTGCAGGCTATGTGTCGAGTCATTAGCTCGTTCTACTGAACGCGCTAGAATTTTATTTCTGAATTCAAATAGAGGCTTCTTTTGGTAGATTGCCAGTGTTATTTAAAGTTCTCGTTTTGAACTACGTAAATTCACAAAGTGCAGTTTGCACCAGTATCAGCCAAACTATGAATTGAAACGATCGCTTTCCTTTTTCTTTGCTGGCAAATTGACGGCATCGCTTTACTCACACTTAATGTTGCGATAGATGCGTCTGGTGAACACACTGCTACCAGCGTATCCAACCGTGCCGCACATAATGAAAAATGCAAAGCAAAAGAGCCCCCTACATAAACATCGAACCACGAAGTCTGAATCATCAAATTATAGTTTCAAGTAAACGACCGACTTACATGTAACCAAAGTAGAAACACGTCTGTAAAAAGCCCGACATGTTGGTCTTAAAGAAATAGAAATAAATGGCATAGGCAAAGACGTAGAGTGCAGTGCTACCTGCAGCAGCGAACGACGTCCAATGCCACCGGTAATTTTCCGAGTTTAGAAGAAAATACGTGCACACAATAGTTACGCAGAGTGTCACAATCGTCAAGATGATAAAGACCAGCAGCATAAAGCCGTAGACATAATAAAATTTGTAGTTCCAGAACGACGCAAAGATGAAATACATCTCAATAAAAATCGAGCCAAATGGTAGCACACCCGTAAGCGCAATCAAAACTGGCGGACGAAGATACCAGCGCGCTTCGGGTACTTCCCGAGGAAATTTGTTGACTCGGCATGGAAAACCTGTTTTTGCTGCACCGTGACGGCCTAAGATCGTGCCAAGAACGGCCAGTGGACACGAAACGAAAAACCACACGAGTACCACTTGCACGATAGTCACAAATGGGATAGCATACGTCGTACCGTATATGACAGCCAATGCGTTAATAAAAAAGACCGACGTGAATGTAACTGCAGGGAGAAGAGCTGACGATAAGCACATAGCACGAATCCAATCTTTCGAAACACGCGGGTAAAAGAATCGATGGTAGTAGGCGCCACTTGCATAGCCGTTCGCGAACGACGAAAGCGCATATATTGATAGACCCACGGACACGATCCCACCCGGTTGAACGTACAGCGATAGTCCAATTGCAAAGAGCATAAGACACACTGACAAGACCAGCAACTGCGCTCCTGTTCCGATCAGTGCTGTAAACAACAGCAGATAGGACGGGGCACGAAACACGTCGCCGTGCAACAATTTCCAGCCGGAAGTGGCATCATCTTTCAGTAGCGATGACTTTCCATCCATCATAAGCTCCTCAGCGTCATCTTCGGCGAATCGTGCGTAGTCATTCTTAAGCGTACGAAGCAAAATGAGTGCTACAAGGCCACACAGGAAAATAACCATCATAAACGAGTTAAAGATCGAGAACCAGTGAATTTGATGCTCAAAAAATTCATCTTCCAAATAACGATCAAATCGATCTTCAAACGAAATATCAGTCTCAGACCATACAGCTTCGTATGTAAATTCAACCTTCTTGTTTGATGCAATGGACGTGAGAACATCGGAATACGTCAAGTTGACGTGAATAATGTGTGGGCCATTGTGCGAGATGGAGTATCTTTTATGAGTATATAATACGCGCGTACCCACTGGAAAGTGCTGTAAGTACTCATCATCATCCGTTGGCTTCATAACTTTACCCACAAGTCCCCAGACAGGCAAGTCGTCTACATTCATTTGATACCAGTAATGCTCGTCGACTGCGGCGCCAAACTTCAGCGCATCAGCATCTGACAGAGTTTGCTCGCAAAGTTTTGTCGTCGGGGTATTTACTCCAAATTTTAGCTGCTGGCCAGAATTGAATAGCTCATTGCCCTCCAAAATCTCACCAATGCCCAAAGCATGTGCCTCGGGATTCTCAGCTCCGGACGCGCGACAGAAGGGCAGTGTGTTGTACGTGTACGTTTCCTGCGGGTTATTAAATGGACCGATTTTGTTTACCCAGACGACCACTTCCTCACCTGGAGCGTACTGATAAACAAACATACGACGAAATGTAAACATTAACCAATTTTGCCCATGCCAGAAAAATTGTGATAGAAGACGAACCTCATGAGTTTCAACGTCAGCCCACGCAAATGGTTCTAAAATGAGAGCCAACAGCGCTATTACTTGCGTCCACCTGCTCATGACTTCAGTTGTAATTTGAGATGAGGGGAGACGGGAGAAATGTTCCACGCGTAATGCTTTTATGATGTGGTTGCTACATAATTCGATCATATTCCTTAAATTAATACAAAATGCAATCAAATATGTCTCGTTGGGAAGAGCAACTTGACAATCAATGTACATCAAAACCAAATTTACAGTTTCCAGAGCCGTTCGGTGATGGCTTGCTGCTTCGATCGTGCTTCTACGCTTGCCATTAGTTTCGGTCTATTGCAAATGTTACTTTCTGTTCAACCCAGATATAATGAGTCCTTCCATCCGCTATACGTGGGCGGTACCTGACCTAAAATCTACATTTAAATAAGGCGCAGCAGTTGCTCGCTGCGCTGGGGTGGATCCTTTACAAGCCTATGCGTGCAAATATTTTGCTCACACCGAGAGCGAAACGAGTGTTTTCTGACATGTGCAGTCATCAATCTGCAGGGATACCGCCGCCGCTTAAAGCAGCAACGATTCAGATAATCTTAAAATTTATTATGGGTATTAAAAAAAGCTAGTGTGAGTCGGCTGCATGTCGACTTTCTTCGGTGTTTCGGCGTGTAAGATGAAGTAGATCTCGTATGCCATCTCAGAACTACACCATCGCTCTGTGAGACTTGAGGGCCCCCCAGCGGTCTAGAATCGTGTCGAGATCAGCAAGAAGGAATGGTAAAGATGCCGCTCCGTCTCCAACAACGCGCTTTGCCTTGGTCGACTGGCAAGAGATATACCTTGATATGGTTTCAGCAAAAATATTTAAAACACGAAACGTGTATCCAATCTCTTTGAAAATATTCCTTTTTTTGCTTTGACTGTGAACAGTTTGGTGTAGCGTGATTGCAACTTGTTTTCCAGACAGCAGACACTGCATGGTACGTAGGTTATTTGCACTCAGTAATACTGTTGTCAATAGATTTGTGTTTATTTTGAGGCGGCTTTGTACTCGGGATGTCATCCTTGTATTCCATAGCAAGTGAATATTAAGGACCAACTGGATCCTTCAAAGCAGCAAATCCTCTGCGTGATTCCGCACGGTGTCAAAATTCTTCGAGAACCGAATCATCTATATTGATGATAGCGTAGTTCCGCTAAATCGACCTTCGACTGTAGCAACACGACCTCCGCGCTTGATGTCGTGTAGAAGGTCATCGTAACTGACTTTCTTAAGCTATACCAGCTCTTCCATCGTCGGTAACGGTGCTAAAGAATATCTGATCGGCAACTCCACAGCCAGTCGTTGAATTCACAATACATGGACCAGCATATTCGCATGCTACAGTTTCCAGAATGAGGAGTAGTACGCTGGACACTCACCCGCGGACTCAACCACATCCAGAGTGGGAGTATTAGTACCAAGATCAACAAATTTCGTTGAAATCTTTGCTCGACCACACGGCTGGGAGCATCACCATTTCCTCGGGAACTCTCTCGATCACACCAGCAAAGCTTCGCAAGTATCCAAGGGCTGTGAAGATTCAACGACTGACGATCTTACAGCCATTTTTGTGAGGAGGCCGCGGGGTTTTCTGATGAGAAAAATTGTAGCAACTCTCTGAGGATTAAATCGGCGTCTCTGCCTTCTAGAGTTATGCATTTCGTCATCGTTTCCTGCCGCAAAGAATGCTGCGACACCCGCCGTAGTCAAGCCTGCTGAATTTCGTTCAGGTATACCCGATTGCTCTTCAACATGCGCATGAATTGCAACGACATTTGAAAACTCCATAGCGTGGAGATGAATCTGTACTGCTCGCTTTTAGGTCGACGCATGCTTGCCAACAGGATTGCCGTGTACATTCCACAGAAAACTCATTACCGTTTAAAGTCCGCGTGAGAAAAAACGCACTGAAGCTGGGTTCGTACGCTTTAACCAGGAGTGGTATCGATAGCCTCTAAGGGGGGTATGACTGTTAGATCGATATGTCATTCAAGAGTTCATATTTTAGTATTGACTTTATGTAGACTGATACAAATTGTATGTATTGTATTATCTCTCATAACAAGTGTCTTTTTCGCGAAACGTGCGGCAAGCAGCTCATGTGTATCTCAGACTTCTTGTGATACGTTATTATTACCATGAATATCGATACGAAGTTGCTTATGAATATCCACAATTACACCAAGTGCAACGTACATCTCGTACAACTGTACTAAAATTGTATATGATTAATCCAAATACACTGGTAACTACGATACATTACTTGCATCAATTCGCCCGCTCTCATTAAGATGTGATCCACACTGAAGATTCACTCTTCATTCGCCATTTGAAAAAAATGCGAAAATGTGACAGAATCACGAGAAGCCACCGCTCTTGAGTTCCACTCTCTGATCTTTACAGTGGCTTCTCTTCTGAGTGTGGACGTACCGGGAGTTCGCTCGCAGGCACCAAATTGAATGGCTCAGCGAGGAGCTCTCGTCAAAATTGCGGTCTTTGTGACCAACACACATAAGAGAATTTTGAAGGATGCCGATTTGTTTCCTTATGAGAGCGGTCCCAGTGACTTTTCGAGTACCGACCGTCCGTTCTGTCATGAGAATCTTGTCACTCCATTGGTTTTGATTTGTTTTCAGTCGTATAGAAATCGCATCTGGTAATCCCGGCGTTGTGGTCTATAATAGCCATTTAAGTAATCTCCCTGCTGTCAGCGATAGTGTGACCGGTAAGGATACAGCCAAACCGTCCATTGACAAAGTCACTCGACAGTTTGGCTTGTCAAAATTCTTGTATCAGAAAGACATTTGCGTTTTCAAAGATGTGCTGACAAACGATGCCGACTTTGCTCGGCACCAGTTTGGATATGCTTACCACAAACTATCGCTGGAACAGCAGAAACTAGAGATGGCGGGTGGTCGCCACGACGACCGCGCCTCGCATTATACAATGCAAAGTCATTCATTCGGTAAGAGCTAAATAGCCGAAACTCCGCACACTACCGCAACAAGTCAAACTTAAACAACGATTGTAAAACGCCATTATCTCAGAAGCTCGCACGGTTCATATACCTATCGAACGGATTCTACAACCGGCAGTTCATTCAGGCCAACCTATCAACAGTTTTGGAAAAATTGAGCACAGCCCAGAACTTCAACAGCTCAATACTTCGGCAACTGGCAACTGCATGGCAATGGCTTTAGCCACGAAGCTAATGGCTTTAGCACATGCACTGACCAATTGGGGTATGGAAGTTCAAAGCGACAGACTGGTGGTCCTTACTAGCAGATTGTTTAATGAACCGGTCAATTGCACGTGCAAGAGCAGTTCGACATCTATACCAGAACGGCGACACTACGTGGATCGGGGCTGTGATCCAGTGAAACTGCGTGAATCAATAAAACAATTTTAAGCGGTATTTAGAAGAGTGTGACGACTTTCCGTCCCAACAAAGGCGATAGTGTCGCGCTTCAATTGGCGCAGCAGTGAAACGGAGTTTTTGCAGCAAAAATTTTCAAGAGAGAAATTTATGTCCTAGCCGATGATAGTGATAACAAATTTTGTTTGATGTATCGTGCGAATACAGTATTATGAGGAAAGCTGGCGTACGATATTGGACAGCAAATATCGCTTCAGCTTGGGATATGCACTGCGTCCCTTAAGTGAGCAAACTTACAAATTAACACCAGCCCTCTTATACTTCGCAATGGGAGAGCTTTTCTCCGCAATTGTCCAGAAAGAGGGAAGGTCAAGGGGGTCCATTCATCGACGGAGCACCCGCAAGAACCAATGGCACTGACGGAAAACAGAAAGTCAAAAGTTTCTGGGGATGGTTTTCGGCAACCTGGAATGGCGACGTGGAAGAATTAACAAAACGACTAACGGGATTTACAATCCCTCGTGAGCTCAATTGTGGAATTGACTCATACTGGAGAAAGCAGAAGCATCACGGTATGCTAAATTATTATGTTCCGAGTCAATATAACATCAGACGCAACCGAAGAGGCAACAGCTCCGGTTGGTGGGCCTCACCCAATAGTGATACTCGCAATGCTTCAAAAGTACCGGCTATCACTGCCGGAACTGCGTCAGTGGCAAGACAATTTTCAGAAATCCCTACAAGATGCGAAATAATTGAAACTTGACAACTCGCGCGCAGCCACCAATAATGGCAATTCTGACTCGTCTTATTACCCACCGAGCTATGTTTCGCCTGAAGAAGAGCAGCACGCCATAATAAAACCCCAGGAAAGCAGGCAAACCGATCTCTCACTCAGTCTTTAATGGATGTAGAACGAATGCAGGGCTAAACGGGATCATCAATCGGTAGAAAAGCAGCAGAGCCGATGGAAATAGTTAGAACTACGGTAAGGAAATCATTTCAACGGATGCGTCGGCAGATCACTGTAGCAAGCTTGAACAGGTGTGACCGACATCGGCGACTACGGTATTTTCATTACTAACAAGCACCTTTGAGTAGTGGAGCTATACTGTCCAGCAATAGCCGATGGCTCTTATTCGTATGTGTAAAATGTAATACTCCCCAGAAATAGAGCTTAGCTCTTTTGAAGAACAAGTGATGGAAGTGTGGACGGCGAGGTGAAGGCATAATTGTTTGTACAACGGTTGCGGTGCCTTTACAGCCAGAATAGAAGACAAACAAACTCAAGCATGGATGACTACCTGGAAGAATCAACTCAGATTACCTCAGCAGACAATTGCAGTCCAAATTGCTAACAGAGAAGTGGACCCAATACTGGAACAAAATGAAAAAGTTATGAAGCTGTGAGACGTCGGCAACAAGTACCGATTGGCGCAACACCTCCTCTGTGCCTTATCTATGACAAAGAAGTTCGAGTATGATAAAGCAATTGCATGGCTAGCACGTAATCTCATCGAATCTAAAATGATGAAAACCTACAAGACGAGGTATGCGGTGTCGCGACGGTCAAGAATCTGTTGGTGAATAGGACACTCCTTCTCCGACACTGTCGAGCGTGGAGTAGAAGGAAGCGGCCAAAACGAAATGAATTCTATCTTCTAAAACGGGGTCTTGTGTGTTGAATATGCGCTCCACATTGAATTTTGTAAAACTCATATTTTATCAGATTCACCCATACAACGTCACTCCTACTCCTTACTTGCTTATCAAACCTAATTTGTCACGTCAAACATGTTCAGTAGGTTGGTAATAGCAGCATCAGCCGCTCCAAGCGACTTCTTTTCAGCTTGGACATAGACGGCATGCCATCCCAAATGTGATTCGTAGCGTCCTCCATGTACAATTGCGGTTGACATGGCCCTGTAATCTTCTCCGTGGGCGACACCTTGTCAACACCCATTTTGTACTTCGCAACAGCTTCATACGGATAGACAAACCAACGCAGCCACTCGTGCTTTTTATACACCTTTTGACCCTCCGGAAAGTTAGGAAGCAACGCTGCCTCTTTAATACAAATATCTGCTTGAAGTGCGGCCTGCTCGAGGTTTTCCCGACGATGAGTTGCGATGCAGTGAATGGTGGGTTGATGTTGTGGTGACGAACTAGCTGCATTTTCACTAAAGAACTGCAGATCTGATAGACTTTTCTTTGCTAACGAGTAAGCCGTGCTACGCGAAATATGGTGCCATTCAGCTGAACGGACGTCTAGCTCATACTGTGGTAGAAATTTCCATCCTTCTTCGGCTATGAATCTCACTGCATCAAGAATGTACTCAACTTCGGCATCGTCAGCAAAGTACGGAAAACTCATTCGAACGACACCCGGCTTAATAACTTCATCTTCTTCCGTAAAAGCGTGTTCTAGCGCAATTGTATGCTTTATATTCAGTCCAAGCATACGAGCTGCGTACGGACCGGCACATTGACAGCCGCCACGAGCTTGTATACCAAAAAGATCGTTCAGCAATGCACACACGAAGTTATGGTGTAGAAAACGGTCATCAAAGCGAATCATCATTGAAAAGATTGGCAACTGGTCCATGTTGTATGTATGGCGACCAAGCAGCACGATGTTCGAGTTTCTGACTAACGCTTCACGAACGTGCTGCGCGTGACGACGTTCCAATGCCATAATCGTGTTAGCTCCGACACGTTGTTTCAGCCGAAAAGCTAGACCCAGTCGAATACTGCCCAAAATATCTGGCGCACCTCCTTCCTCGCGCAAGACAATGTCACTTAACTTGTTTTGAGCTTTTTCAGTCACTAAGAGCACGGTCTCATCTCCATCTGTCGTCGGCACTTCGTTTTGCATAAGATTCTTTTTCACGATCAGTACACCGGGAGATCCCGGACCACCCAAAAACTTGTGGCCAGAAAAAAAAATGGCGTCTTTGTACGCGAGAGGATCTCTCGGATTCATATCAATTTTCAAGTATGGCGCACCCGTTGCATAATCCCAAAATGCCAATGCACCGTATCGGTGTAGTAAC